GGGTTTTGCCATGCAGGTCCAGATAGGCTCTGAAGTAGCAGCCAATCTATCATTAATCATGGTCAGAGAGAACAGTTCCCCTATGGCCAAAACCCAAGTCATCACTCTTGGCAGTTCTCCTTAGTATTAGATGGAAAATACTGAATAACTTCATGCAACAGGATAATTAAGTTAGTTACTGCACCCTCTGGGATGTAATGCCACTCCGAAACACCTTTTTAAGGAGTAATGCTAAGACAAAAGTCAGTTCTTTCGTGCTCTGGCACAGAACTCTAAACCCAAGCCAAGCACTCATTCAGGTATGTGGGAAAGATCCACAGTTGCTTCCTGAAGTCAACCTTACATCCTCTGACAGGGACCTTCTTTGTGTAGCCTATTTCCTTGAAATGGAAAGTAGGGTGTCATTCCAAGCAGATAAGCAAACAGTCTGGTTCTTTAAATTAAAAAATGAAAAGTCACTTTTACCACCAGTACCTTTCTTATTCAAAACATACAGTATTCACTACAATTAAAAGACAATCTGGGTACTTGCCAAACTTCACCTGCTAGTTAGAGTCTGAAGAACGCTAATCATCTATCCTTTCTCTTTTTCAAATAAGACATATCACTTTACCTCCATGTAGAAAGATGCAGGTTAAGGATGGCTTATTACATGGCTTCTGCATTTACAGAGAGCTTATATAATAAATCATTATCTGGAGAAAAGTTCTACATATTCTGTATGATTTGTTATTGAAGATCGTTTTCAGTATTTCTCATGTAATGATCTAGTATAGATTTTTTTTTTAAGGTGCCAGTAAGGAAGAAGCAGCTTACTGGCAGCTACAACTGAATTTAGAAATGTCCGCCTAGAAAGTCCTCAATCTCCCCTTATGTTAATGATCTTCCTGCACTGGGAGCCACCACAGATCTGTCCTAGAAGTAGGCTTGGTTAAAAAAAAGGTAGAACAACTATACTTGCAATCTAGATTATATCTAATGAAAAATATGACCGCTTCCTCTGCAGCATGTCAGCTTGCCTTACAGGTGAATCTGCCACTCAGTAGGGAAGTAGGACAAGACAGCTAACTTCTCTTTCATTTCATAAGCATTTATTGAATACCTAATAAATGACAAACTCTAATGAGTACCGTGATATTAAGATTACATGTCTGACCTCACAAGACTCAAATTCTCAGGCTGCCTACATATTTCTCAACTCTTTGCATTTCTGCTCCAAAAACAAAACAAAAAAAACAGGAGTCACTGAGTTCGGTAGACCTGTTTCAAACCATGGCTCTTAATTGCTTAACTGCAGGCAGATTAACCATATTTTCATCCATAAAAGTAGAGAAAATATCACTCACAGCTATTACAAAGATTGAATGGGATAACCAATGAAAGAAAAATCATCTAGCATAACAGGTGGTGTTAGGTACTCATTAAATTGTTTCCTCCTTTTAGAACTAGTCAGCTCTAGTTAGATGTTCTGAGTACTTTTCCTGTTAGTGCAAAAGCTCCATAAGGGTGAGTAACTGGTCCTTAGAAGGTACTTGGTAAATAATTAGTACATGAATGAATGAATAATGCTCTAGAATTATTTTATATTAAAATTAGAAAACTAATCCACAGTCTATTCTTAGCATTTTCTGCAATATATGTGCTGTTACAGATGTTTGATCTGAATATAAAACTCCATTGATGAAACCTTTGTTCCTCCTACTTCAAAAGCATGTTATCTCAGTGATTTATTTTAAGACAGTTGTTAAAGCCATTTGAACTTTGTGTTACCAGGTATGCAAAATCAATCAACTTGCTATGCATTCATGAAAAGAAAGTGAGTTTTAGTTAATGACAGTATGAACCAATGAAAAGCATTTAATTTACACTTCTAAGTGATATACACTGAATATTTTACAAATAAAAAAACAAATTTATTCTTGACTGTGGGATTATTTGTATTTAAGAATACCATAGGATAAAATACACAATAACAGCGTTTTTGCTACAGTTCATATTTATTCTTTCCTTGCCACAAATTTACAGACAGTGACTTATTTATGGATTTTTTTTTTGTTTACAATATCCATGAACTGTCAATTAAAATACTTTCTCAGGAAAAAATGTTAGTTTAGATACAAACAATTACATATCTAAGCTGGAATGATACCACATATTATCCACAAACATGAAATAATTTTCTTCTCTTTTGCTAAGGCTTTTTAAATTTCCCCTTCTTTCACATAAATGGAAAAAAAAATCTTCTCCATTTTTTTTTTTTGAAGAAAAGTCCTGCAGTTCACAAAACAAGCACTTGAATTTCTGGGTAGAAAGGGTGATGAGTATAAGACATTCTCTCATGTGATATATGAAAACTGACTAGAACACAGTAAGGTGAAGAACTTTATAATGCAATGGATTAGAAGAGTAAGTTAATATACCTTTCCTGATTATATGTTACTATTTTTCATATTCAAAGCACTATCATTTGGACATTATTGATTACATATTTTTAAAAGAAATACATGATAAAAAAGGGCTGTAATAAATACACTTTTAGACATCTCACATTAAGCTATAATTTTTAGAAATACATTTTGAAAGGTATAACCAAAGATTATCACTAGCAGTTCTAAAATGTGTATACATCAAACCTCTCAACTAACTGGATAAAATCTTATTAAAAACAAAAATAAAATTTCAGATAAACAAAGAAAACTTTAAAGCTGAATTTATTTATCACATAGGAGGTCAGTGTCTTGCTTTTGTGTCTTCTATATAGACTGATAGCCCCTATTAGATTAGAACTGCTCAGAATAGCATTGGTCATAAAAGCAAAGAATTGCTGCAGTACAGAGGTTTAGGACAAGAATGTTATAATTGTTAGCCCAACCAACCTAAGAATTAGTCTAGTGTTACTAAACTCTACTTTCCTGTCTTTCACGGTCCCCTCATTAGATTTTAAAAGAATCTAGTTACTATTTCTTCACTTTTTGTTGTTGTTGTTTTTGTTCTTCTGTAGTATAGGAAATTCAACCCAGGGCCTCACGTTTGCTAGGCAAGCACTTTACCACCTAAACTACATCCCTAGCCCTTTCATTTGTATTGTTTTTGAGATCAGGTCTCCCCAACTTTGTTGCATCTGGGCCAGAACTCACAATTCTCCTAACTCTGGCCTCCCAAGTGAAGTAGCTGGGATTACAGGAGTGGACTTCAATGATACCTGGCTCCCCCACTCTTACCTGAACAGAGAGGGAGGGGACTGCAGGTTTTCAAAGATAGGTAGCTGAATTTATTTACATTTTAATGTATTTATAATAACAAGAGAGGATAAAACATTGTTAGGAAGGGGGGATGCAGCTCAGAGCCCTTGCCTAGCATGACAAAGCCATACGTTTGATCCCTAGAACATCCACACACATACACAGACACAATAATTATATAAAGAATAAATCTGCTAAAAGAACATTTTTTTAATCATTGCTTTAATTTTGCAAATTTATTTCTATCAGTAATATCAAAATTATTACAGGTCATTCCAATCCTATAGCTCTATAAACTTGAGCAAATCACTAGCTCCTTGCACCTATTTTCTCATGTTTAAAACAAGAGTACTTACGTTGATCTCCAAGATCCCTTTGTATTGGAATATTATTTCCTTTATGTTCTAGATTCAATTATCAGGCAAATTAAACATAGACTCACCTGCCTATTCATAAGGCCTCCTAAATGTGATATACACAGCAATCAATTAGAGGTCTAGGAACAAACTATCAAAACTTTAAATTTATATGTTTTTAATCCAACACAATGGGAGAAAACAAGAGCTTTCCTAATCTTTAATACTCTGACCGAGTCTTGTGTTCTCTCCTGGTCTGTGAGGGAACAAGTATGTCACAATGCAGAGTGAGTATGCTATGGGGATTTATAGATTATTATTGAATGCTTACTAGATAAGATAATTGGCTTACAAGAATTTCTGCAAAGTAACCTCAGATTAAAAATAAACCAATAATGCAGCTGTAAGTAATAACTAAAAACTGAAAAAGAGCAACATGCTTTCTTTCTTAAAATAAGTTCTTTGCCAACAGCACGATGAGGTAAGACGACGACTGTGGAGTCAGGTCTGAGAAGGCACAGTCCCCCTCACCCAGAACTGCAGGTTCTAGAGCACTCACTGTCCTTAATGATGCACTTGCTCTCAGAGGGCTGGAGCTTCAGGTATTTGCTAAGAATGACTACACGTGTACAAAACATTCAAAATAGGTCACATATGTACACATATCTCTGTACATCTAATTTTTTACTGGAAGGGGTATATGACCCATGAGGTTTGAAGCTTTATTTATTGGGACCACGCACAGTGCAAAATATAAGCCTTGAGCCACAAAGACCTGTTAGAATCATAGCTCCAACACACAGCTCACCCTGGTCTACAATAAGCCTCTGAGGCTTCAATTTCTCATCCGTAAACAAGTGAAAAATAACACCCATCTCATAGGGTTGTTGTTGAACAAGAGTACTTGACACATGTAGGCTTTGATAAATACTTATTTCTTGCTCTGTGTGGTGGCACAAGTTTCTAATCCTAGCACTCAGGAGGATGAAGCAGGAGAATGACAAGTTCAAGGCCAGCCTGGGCTTCACAGTGAGATTCTGTCTCAAAATAATAAAATAAAGCTGGATACTGGTGCCTCATGCCTATAATCCTAGCTACTGGGAGGGGGAGATCAGAGGATCGTGGTTTGAAGCCAGCCCACACAAACAGTTTGTAAGACCCTATCTCAAAAGTACCTAACACAAAAAAGGGCTGGTGGAGTGACTCAAGTGGTAGAGTGCTTGCCTAGCATGTGTGAGACCCTGAGTTCAAACCCCAGTACCACCAAAAAAAAAAAATATATATATATATACACACATATAATATGTTTCTACTAAAATACATTACAGTAATCTGTTCTAAAACAGAATGTATCCAGTTAACTAAGATTTAAGGACTGAATTATCAACTTTTATTAACTTACCACATTAAAATCTAAATTTTCTTCAACCCACGACTTTGCTTGTTGAAATTCATCTTTCATTCCCATAATAAAAAGCGTATCCAGGGCATCTACTATAGTTGCTCCTTTGATGTTACCTGAAAAAATTTATCCAACAATATACGTTTGACACATACATACATGTAAATTGACCATGCTGAAGCAAGAGAGAGGGTAATTCTCAATTTACTAATAAGTACTGAACACTCTTAAATTCTTTCAGTGAAAGTAAATACAAAAATGTATACAAACAAAACTAAGATTATCACAGACTAGAGGATGATATACTAATCTTTAATGTTTCTTCTGAGTTGTAAAAAGTAAACCACTTAGAAATTTCATTTGTTATTCTGTTCTCTAGCAAGAAAATAAGTCTAAAATGAAGAAGCAACACACATATTAATTTTAATGTAATTACACTGAAGTGTACCTGCACAAAACTGTCTAAATATAACTGCTAGATCTAAAGTGCTTAGTGACAGCTCTAAGAAACTGTTGTAGTCGTTGCTCCTTATCTATAAGCAATGCGTTCTGAGAACCCCAGTGGATGTCTAACAGCAGATCATACTGAACTCCATTTATACTATGTTTTTACTGAACACACAAACTTAATGGCTTTCCATCTTAGCTAAGCATTTGCACACTGTCACTGTAACTTTTGCAGTTTGAAGTGCAACACCAAAACTAGCACGAATTCCTTTTTCCTTCTTCACTATTTCATGGGTAGAAGACTCATTCTTACTGTAAACCTTAGCAACCTCAGCATGTGATTTTTTTTCCCTCCCTTTCCTTATTAAGTTGAGCAGTTCACATTTTCACTTTTAAAGAAAGTAGCTTTATGGCTTCTCCTTGTAATATTTGAACTTCCAGCATCATTACTCTTGCACTTTGCTGACATTATTAACCAAGATATGGGTTAGTTAACACAACCCATAACTACAATACCAGGACAGGTGAACCAAGTTGGCTACTTAGTTACTAACTACCGGGTAATGTATACAGTGTGGATTCTGTGAAGACTCACATCCAGGGAGGGATAGTACAAGAGTGCTTAAGATTCCATGACAGTCTAAGAAGGACGTACAACTTTAAATGCATGAATTATGTATTTTGGAATTTTCCATTTAACACTTTCAGATTGCAGTTGACCACAGGTAACTGAATGGTTGTTGAAAGACTGGGTGCTATACTTAGACAATTACTGTTGTGTGCAATTCAAAATCAAATCTGTAAACGTAAATGGAAGTTACTTCATTGGCACACTCCCTTCAAGTACTGAATATATAAAGTAATTCTAAATCTTATCTAATGATAAGGACAAAGAACCCAAGGACACTTTCATTTTATGACATACTTCACTATAAGTCAATGTTCTCTAAAACAGAACTATGGACTTAGGAGAATCCTAAAGGGATAATTTACAGCAACATTCTGAAATATGACACCAGCTTCATATTTTCATTGACATTTAACTTTTCAGTAAGTAAGAACTTTAAATAAATGTTTATATTTCTTGTATTTAAATTTATAGTGAGTATGACTGGCCAAACACAAAATACCTCTCTCTGTAAGGGGAATTTCTACTTAAATCATTTTTATTTCTGAAATCCTGAAACAGTAATTCTAGTTACTTATTTAAAGTAGAACGGGGAGATAGTAAAAACTTGAGATGATTCTTTATCTTCATTAACACAGTTTTAAGTTAAGAAGTAACTAATTTTCCTCTCCCTAGGAAACAGATCTAAGTTTCAATCTAACAGGGAAGAAACAATCATGAGAAGGAAGTGTCTTGAAAGGCTCTCTAGAAGCTAGTAATCAGAAAAGCTCACATTCATAAGGACTAAGACTTCTGAAAAAGCAAGTCTGTTTTTAAGGTTGAAACTCAAAATCATCTATCTCTAACTGAGAACCATTCCTAAAGAACCAGGTGGTAATTTTCCTATCTTTTGCCTGGTTAGCTGAAAGAACACGTAGGACTACATACTATTTACAGATAAGGAACTTGGCTGAGCAGTGGACTAAAAAAGTCATTTAAAAGTTTTTTTCATCTGTAAAAATGAAAACCTTATGTTCGTTGTAACAAGTCCCAGAATATTGGTATTACTATAACAAGAAAATCAATCCTATGTATCCTGTTCTAATTTGAAGACGGAGTAAGATAAATACCATTTGATTATAAATACTTCATACTTCATTCCCTCATACTAATACCCAAAGACTTTTTTTTTTTTTTTTTTGCAGCACTGGGGCTTGAACTCAGGGTCTTTAGCCACTGTACCAGCCCTATTTTGTGATTTTTTTTTTTTTTGAGATAGGGTCTTACAGAACTATTTGCTGGGACTGATTTCAAACAAGACCCTCCTGATCTCTGCCTTCTGAGTAGCTAGGATTACAGGTGTGAGCCACTGGTGCCCGGCCCAAACCCTTTTTTTTGAAGAATGAGTTCTTACCTAGATTATCAAAAAGGTTTTTACTGAAAAAGCCAATAAAAAAGTAAGAATGGAGTTAGACTTTTTAACATTATAATAAACACTGGAAAAATAAAGGCCTCTGGTTTAGCATGAGGCTTTAGAGTTTCTCTCTTCCACTTGTATCTCTCCTCACCCATGCTAGTCACTGTGTCCTACTTCAAAATATCTGAAATCACTTCTGCTGCTGTGCTCCAGGTTTAAGCTCACTAAATCGTATCACTGTGATAGACCAAGTCATCTCCTTTCTTACACTCTTACCAGCAATCCCTACCTGTTCTTGTAACCCCCTGCCATGCCCTTGTGCCCACTTGACTTCCTACCAATCACTCAGAACTTCACATGAATGTCCACTGCACCATCTCGTGCTTTGAAAATTCACTATATTACACATATGTATTCTGTGCTAGACCATGAACTCCATGAAAAGTTATTTTCACTAACACCTGTGCCAGAAGTAAACACATGAAAGATTTCAAACATGTGGGAAAGCAGAGTGTCACAGTTAGGGTCATAGACTCTTATGTTAGCCAGATCAGAGTTCAAGTCCCGGCTCAGCAGTTTAGGCAGCTATATTCAGAAAGCTATTCTCTGAGCCTCATTTTCCTCACCAATTAACATGCATGTGAGAATGAGTTTAAACGATCTGTGGCACAAATGTCACTTGGCACACAGGAAAGCCTCAATAAATGTCAGCTGAAGTTGTTATATAAATTGGTACTACTTAACATGTTCAGTTCAAGTATGGAATGTCATGTTTTCTCTGGTGAATTCAGCAGTCTCAGGATAAAATTCCATTCCCTGCATTCTATTACTTATACTCAAAATTTGGGGTGGCAGGGGCTAGAAAGAAATCAAACAAAATAGGAAGGGCACAATATAGACCCCCACCCCAAGGAATCTATTAAAACTTTCTGTTAGTTTCCTTACTTCCACAATAGGAACATTAATTAATATCCACAGTACCAATCACAGAGGGTTACATGAGGACCAAATGCAATACAGCATGCAAAATGACAGATGGAAGCTCAAATTACTGGTCTAATCCATCATCACTTTCTCTTCCACAGTATGAAATGTAGAAACCTACAGCCAAAGTTGAGATGCAGGGATGATCACCATGGCTGGTTGCCTTGGCCAGCTTATCTGTAAAGACACAGCTTTTGGCCAGGCCTGGTAGCTCAGAGCTGTAATCTCAGCAACTTAGGAGGCAGAAGTAGGAGGATCATGGTCTGAGGCCAGCCCTAGCAAATGCCAATATCCTATCTGAAAAAGGAACTAAAGCAAAAGGGTTGGGGCATGGTTCAAGTGGTAGAGTGCTAGCCTAGCAAGTGCAGGCCCTGAGCTCAAACCTCAGAACCGTCCAAAAAAAAGGACACAGTTTTTCACCAGCAGGAAACAGTTAATGCAACTGACAATATGCTCCTCTATGGGGAACTACTTCTGGAGCTACAAATCCTGATGCTGTCCCCACAGTCATCACAGGAGACTCTTTGGAAGTGCAGCCCATACATCAGTACATTTTAAAGGTATGCAGACTACTCTGATGCACAGCCTCAGCTCCATCTAAAAGACACACTATGCACAGTCCTTGAAGGTAACTTCACCAGGTATGCCAAGTTTCCTAGCAACATGGAAAGACTGGAGAATCACTGTATTACCCAAACTTCTCCACCACCCATAAGTTCAGCGATTGGAGAGGAGATACTGTCACTAAGAAATCAAAACACATTCCACTCACCAAACAAACTGCTTGAATGGCCTTCTTTTGAGATGGGTTTCAGTTCATTCAGTCCCCAGGCATAGCGCTCGTAATTATTCCATGCATGCTTCATCATCTGAGAAAAGAAACAAAAATGAGACCACGATTTGAACTGAGATTGTTCTTGTTACAATAGATCACGTACTCTAAAGGTTAAAACATTAAAAATCACTACTTAGTCAAAAGGATGATGATTAATTAAAAGGGTGATGATTAGAACACATGAATATCACACACATGACACATTTGTGTTTACAAATGAAAAATTTTCTTTTGAGTCCATTTATTTCTATTGATATAAATATCATTTCAGAAGTCAGTTCCCAACAACATAAATTCAGCTTTTCCTAGAATGATAGTATTCCGACATTTATCTATTTCATTCTCAGATTAGGTAAGCAAACTTAACATTCATATTTTTGCACAAGGTTCTTTCTACTTTGTCTACCTTATTGTTTGTAGACAAATATTCAAGGTTATCACTTTAAATACTTCAATGTTTCTCCATCAAGAAGTATGGAGAAGTATTTGAAACAGCTACAAGAAAAAAAAAAGAAACTCTTCAATAATGCCTAGGTTGTGAAAGCCTTTCATTTATTTTAATATAATCAATCTTTAAATGTATATATATGTGGACATACATATGTAACTGAAGACTGATCCTATATATTACCAATTATTGAGAGACCATGTAAAATAAATTTTTTTAAAGGTCAAGCCCTTCTCTTGCATAAATTAATTATATAATTTTTTTAGTGACTGAAAGACTATCTATAATTATTTTTGTGTAGGTTTTTTTTTTTTAAAAGGTAGGGATTCCTCAACTATCTAGAACTCATTCAGGCCACTATCTTTTAGCAACACTAATCAAAATGAGACATAATCTAAAAATGTTCTAATCTGGTTCCATATTTTAAAATATGTTAGAAAGCATCATGTAAAATTATAGACAGTATAAACTGCTATTTATCACTAAAAATCTCTAGTGAAATCAATACCATTTCACTCAAAACAAAGTATGTACATATCCCAGAACACACCGAGCATTTTTCATTCACCACTGTATATTATCTTCCCTTCTCACCACTATTACAACTACTGTACCAAGACTCTGGAGTATTTTCTGAGTACTCCAGTTAAATGTTTACCTTTGCTATGGACTTTGATTTTTGTCAAAATCTATGAATCATGTTTTATTACCATTGCTTGATAAATGAAGAAACTGAAGCTTGGACCTTAAAAAGAAAATAAAATTTTACTCAAAGCTGTGACATTTCTCTACAGCCAAGGAGCCAGGGTTCCATCCCATAGTGGCCTGATTCCAAAGCCCCAGGCATCAACCACACCATCTCCCTTTATTGAGTCTGCAACAGAACCTCCCTCCAGTGAATCAATTGCTGATCTTCCAACAATCAAAAATGCTTGTAGGGTAGTGTTGTCAAGATTTCTTCTTATAAATAAATTCTATGGGAAAGTGTAATAGATTTGAGGATCAGATAACTTTATAATCTCTACAATGTCACTGATTAATCACATACCCATGCATGCGTCGTGGTTTTTGTGAGACTTTTTCCCTTGTCTGAAACACTGGGATCCTAATTCCTCACAGGATATATGTAAGGATTCCATGGGTATGACCTGTACATTTTTGCCTAGTGTACTGCTTGATGGATGGTAGGTAGTTATATGCTTATTGAATTTGATTTCAAACCTTCTTTGAAACCAACTATGTATACATCAAAAAAAAAATTGAAACCAATGAGCTTCTGAAAGACCATTTATATGAAGTCCATGAAAACACCTTGAGATTACATCTCTTGGGTGTTATTCTTTTTCATTACATGTACTACAGCTGGTAAACTCTTCATTCTTGTAAATTTCCAAAGATACTTTAAAAATGCAAAAGCTTTTGGAACACACTTGACATAAAAATAGAAAAAATGTTCTAATGATTTGTTTCAGCTCTAAATCTGAATGGAAACCAGTGCCATATACTATTAGTGACTTAAAGATTACATAAAGCTTTCCCACAGAGGACTATGTTGCTTTGTCAAAAATTATCATTTATATGATGTACTGTTAGCTTAGAACCTCCTTAAGTTACCTCTGTAGTGTATATTAACTTTTCTTATCTTTTTCTCCCCAAGGGAAAAGCCTGATACTAATTGCTTAGCTTCCTGTATTTCAAAAGCTGCTGTGACACATTTCTCAAAATGGGCTTCTCATCCCATGGGATTTCTATGAGTTAAAATTAGAAAAGAAGAAAATGATGTGGTCAGATTGCCAAGAATGGAACATCAGGAGTGGTTTCTCTAGTATTCTATAAAATGAAGAGAAATGGTCATTTTGCTAACTGGCTACAGAAGCTGGTCACTTCTGGAAATGATCTGTCATATTAAAGCTAACTTTTAAAATGCGTGTGTGTGTGTGTGCACATGGATGTGCATGCATGCATGCACAAAATAATATGAGATTGAATTCATTCTGATTTATGACTTATACAAATATTTGAAAACATCTAAATGCTATATTAGCTTGTAACTTTATAGTATTAAGCCACTAGCCAGCTAGGGACCATGGGGACAAAGACATTTAATCTCTCAGATGTAGTGTTATAGTAATCTAACAAGACAAGAAGGTCACTTCTAAAATTCAACTGTCAACAAAGAAGTCCATGAATAGGATTGATCCCTATTCTTCTTGGGACTCTTATTTTGTTTTGTAGCCTTTCATCAATTTAATTAAGGTTTTAAAGTGTGGCATCTCAAGAAGTTTCAAAATAGGTCTAAACTAGAGGTTGATTAGGATTTCAAATGCAGTTCTGAAACATTCACAAAAAAATAAGCTGATAGCAAACAAAGATTTTTTTCCTGAGTATATTCATATTTGCCTTGGTGAGAAGCACAGCTAACACACATGTAGATGGAAACAAATGAAAGTATGGCACAAAATTTCATAACAGAAATCCACTGTTTTGATCCAGAAAGACGGAATTAAGGCATAGGATATGCAAAAAAAATAGCATTTCCTTTTCCTCAACTCTATGCTTATAGAAAAAAAATTCTTCGATTTGTACTTTCTTTTCAGTTGACATCAGGGCTGAGTAATTAGGCAATGTAATTTATTGAGTGTTTGCTACTCTATAAATAGTAAGACATTAAAGGACCAGAAGGTGAATATATAAGACTATCTCTCACTTATAATCTAATAGTTAATGTATGGAAGTCTAACATTCTTCCTTCTTATAGTCAATAAGCATTTACAAATATAGGAAAACAATAAGAAAACTAATTAACTAGTATGTACAATGCTATTGGTGTGCTTAGCAATTTGCTTTAATTTTATGTCCTGATCTAAGCAAGGACAGTGGAAAGAAAATATTCTTGACTTTCCTCCAGCTCTGTATAGATTTCATAACTCATGTTTTTGTTGTTAGGACTTTCTTAGCAAATATTTCTATTTGATAAAGTTTTACTCATATGATCTTAAATTTTTCATAACAGACACATTGAAATATTTTTTGAAAATCTCACCACTTTTGCCAGATACGTCTTTCAAAGACTTTGGCTTATCACTGCCTACTTAAAATCCTACAAGTTCAAGTTCCATTTACAGAAATAAAATAGCACAAAATTTCCGTAGTTTGTGCGATGTCAATCCAGCCTCAGCTGAATGATCCAGGGCCTGGTGCTTGATCCTAAGACAGGTTAACATGGGACTGGCCAAAGGCCCTCAAGGGAAGGTGCTCTGGTATGTAGCTCTCACTAATGGATGGAGATGGACTGACCCAATCATCTACTCCACCTGGGCCAGTGCAACTGGAAGACATTCTGAGAGTGATGCAGAAACAGAGAAGTACAACTACAGAAAGAAAAAGTCATAAGGCATGAGGCAGCTGAAGCCATGAGGGAAAGAGAAGACATGAAGAACAAAGGAAAAAGGCAGAAATGAGAAATGCTCATTGATTTGTGTGGTATCCCACTGAAATTATGACTGCAGAGCAGCTACAGAACTGCAGACAATGCTGCTGGTTCTTGAATGCTGATGAATTATCTTGCTCTCCTCTCCTCTGTGAAGTGTGGCTTTTTGCTCGCTTTTCCTTACTTCCCTCTGTGTCTTTATAGAAAACCTTATCATTTACTTAGGAATAATGCATAAAGGCAGGTGAGGGGTATAGGCATTTGACAAACCAGGCTCATATTCACTCTCTGCCAATGTCAAAGTGACTCTGAGTGAGGCAATCAATCTCTGAGCCCACTTTCTGCACTCACCTAGTGTGAATGAACAAAAGCACAGCCTCACTGGTTGTGACAATGATTAAATAATGCATGTAAAGAACTCAATCTATTGCTTGACATATAGTGAGTATGCAGTGCACTTTAGGTATTTTTTTTTTTTATTAAAAACCTAACCAGCTAGATGTAGTGGTATACGACTATAATCCCAGGCGATGAAGATCAGGAGGATTGTGGTTCAAGCCCAGCCTACACAACAAGTTAGCAAGATGCCATCACAACCAAAAGCTGGGTGTGGTGGTGAGTGCCTGTGATCCCAGATACACAGCTGATATCAAGGCTCAAAGCCAGCCCCAAGCAAAAAACATAATACCCTATTGTAAAACATAAAGCAGAGAAGAACTGGGGTGTGTGACTCAACTGATAGAGCACATGCCTAGCAAGAGCAAGACCTTGTCTGAAACAAACAAAGATCAACCATGTCTTTGATCTTTGTAATCTCAGATTTTCATACTCTTTTCTTAGTAACAAATATAAACAAGAAGGCAAATCTATCCGTGCATATTAACTCCTTATATACATACACCTTTAAAATATACACACCTCTGTGGTAGCCAAAAGGTGAAAGAAGAAAAGATAGAGTAGAAATGACTTTTTCAAGTGTAGGGCAACAGGAATTGATCGTTAGTCCTGAAGGTTCATCACCTGGCTTTCATGAATCTTAGTTGTTCCAGGTAAGCTTATGTAGAGGATTTGTTCCAAGGATTTGGGGGCTGATCTATGACAGAGATATCACGAAAGATAGTAATACACAGCCAGCTTTACTGGGTGGTATTGGAGA